ACAAAATAAATAATAGTCGTCATGTTTGTTTACCATTATGATATAATATGTAGTTCCCGCATGAATGAATCGCTTCCACTTGACTGGATGACTATTTTAAAAAGAGTCGTGTGTGGCCCCACCGTATTTTCAATTCATATTTAATATTTTTAAATTGTGGTCACAAACCTGATGTAGTGTGTGTGACACCTCTGCCAATTAGTAGTGTAAGTTTATAACAAGAAACACTTAATTAAAGTCCATCGACCAGTTAACACGTATCTCAGCCGCGCATACATTGCCAGTGCTGCCACGCGGGCAGCGCTGCGCACGAGTACAAAGTTTGGTGTAATAATAATGTGAAATTAAACTATTAAATAGAGTTTTGCGCCTACATTGCACTGAAAAAATATGTTGATTAACTTTTGTATAATAGTTATAAGCTCCCTACTAGCCGAAGACTTCCTTTAAATAGAATAAAATGTACAGATGATAAATGTATATAGATATGTAATAGAATAGTATGAAAAATCCTGCCAACTATCGGCCGATTTCGATAACGTCCATACTCTGCAAGATTATGGAGCGAGTGTTGAATTCGCGCCTCATGGCATATCTAGAAGGTAACGATCTCCTCAGCGACCGACAGTATGGATTTCGCCGCAATCGGTCTACTGGGGACCTACTAGTTTATGCCACTCACTTGTGGGGCGAGGCCCTCGAGGGGAATGGGGAAGCTATTGCCGTGTCCTTAGACGTGTCGAAGGCCTTCGATAGGGTATGGCACGATGGCCTTTTGTCTAAGCTTCCAGCGTACGGCATTTCTCCTGGACTGATAAACTGGGTAAAAGACTTCCTGAGTGGACGGTCACTCCGAGTTGTTATCGATGGATGCTCATCAGAGCCTATGTCGACTAATGCTGGTGTTCCTCAGGGGTCTGTTCTCTCTGCAACTCTATTTCTGCTCCACATCAATGATCTGCTAGTGCCTGGTATCCTTGGGTATGCAGATGATAGCACAGTTGTAGAGAGATACCTGCCCAGTGCTCGGGCTAGTAAGGAGCTAATCCAGTCTGAAAGGGAGGCTATGGTAGAGCGTACGAATGTCTCACTTCAGGTAGTTTCAAAGTGGGGCAAAACTAATCTGGTAACATTCAACGCCACCAAAACACAGGCGTGTCTATTCACCGCCAAAAGGAGCCCGTTCACCTTGGCTGCTGCTTTTCGGGATGTATCCCTGGAGTGCACCGACCGCCTTCAGCTCTTGGGAATGGACATTGCTTCAGACCTTAACTTTGGGCGGTTCATTGAGTCCAGAGCCAAGGTAGCTGCTAGAAAACTCGGCGTTCTTGCAAAAGTCCGACGGTACTTCACACCGAGTAAGCTCCGGTCAGGTCCGATCGTGTGTGGAGTACTGCAGCCACATATGGGCTGGTGCTGCGAAATGCCACCTAGCGGCTTTGGATTCGGTGGAAAGGCGTGCAAAGAGGCTGATTCGAGATCCAGATTTGGTTGGGTCCAATATTCAAAGTCTCGAGCACAGGCGCAGAGTAGCCAGCCTTGCGGTTTTCTACAGGATGCATTTTGGAGAGTGTGCCCAGGAATTGCACGATTTGATTCCGCCATCCCAATTTCACCTTCGGACATCCCGGCGTACGGCGAATATCCACCCCTACGTTGTTGAGACACCTGCGGCCCGGACTAAGCGTTTTGCCTCGTCATTTATACCGCGTACATCGAGGGATTGGAACAGTTTGCCGGCTGCAGTCTTTCCGTCCGAATACAATTTAGGTGTCTTCAAGACTAGAGTGAATAGGCTCTTAATAAACTAGTGCGCCTTACCATCAACGATTGCATCACTGCTTAACATCAGGTGGGATCGCAGTCAAGAACTGGTTTATTGCAAGTAAAAAAAAAATAAAAATACTATTTGTAGATTCAATGAGTGATAGCCTTTTCTATTAAAAAAGGGGATCACCTTTACTTGGTTTCATTATAGCTATGTGAGTGCAGTCAATACATCATACGACAACTGGTAAATTAAATCTTCTTCGGAATCTAAAACCAACCATATTTCAAGTCAGGTACATCAAACATTAAAATACTGCTGATTTATTTTTTAATACATACTAATATGATAACAATATATTTGTACTGATTATTACTTACTCTTGTCTTATTCTTAAAATATCTTGATTCGTTAAGGGATATTACATAATATTTTAATAAAATTATGGAATCTCTATGTATAATATGTCGCAGTAAGATAGATGTAGCCGTAATATAGTTATATCCCTAGGGATATAGTTATAAAACGGACCAAGTTTAGTGATATACTTATATTACTAGATTAAGTTTAGTGAAATAGCTTTCGGAGTGTGCGCCTCCCCCGCGGCCTTTCGTGTGGTTGCGGAGCGAGGGGCCATAGAGGCTGATGTTTAGGGCAGAGCCGGGGAGGCTGAAGTTTCCGGGCGGGTCGGTGCAACCGGAGGACAGGTAGCCCACTCGTTCGAACCTCAGCGGTGATCAGTATCTCAGCAGGGAGTTCATTCGGTATCTACTCCGAGGCGACAGGGACAGCCTTCGTTGAATTCTCCGGCGCAGGTAATTTCGGGGATTCCGGAATCAGGTCTAGAACAAATTTCTCAAGCTGAGGTTCAACTTTAGCTTGGAGTGTTGAACTATTGTTCAGCCTTTTAACAAGGCGAAGAAGCAGGGCCTGAAGTGCCATGATGAAGAGGGCCTACGTTCCTACAACACAACAATAACTTTGCTTGAGATGCCACGGATGCGTGCCTCCTCCAGCAGGCAGGTGCCAAAATATTCCCTCCTATGGTATCTTCCTAGCACCTATCACCAAGAAGAAGAAACCCGAACAAAATTGGTGGTTAGGTGCCTTTTGGCCTGAGGGGTCCTATAATTCTAACCCTCCAAAGAGGTGAATTTGGAGGTGTGTGGGCGTCCCTGCCTACCGGGTGTAGGCAGGGAGGTGAGTATCTATTGGTGTTCCCTAAGCTAGTAATTCCGCTACCAATCTTAATGTGCAACGGGTTCCTATGCGCCGGTTCGCGGTTAGGCGGCAGGCGAAGCTGTGGAGAGAAGCTGTGGAGAGAACGGGTTAAGTGCTGAGTACAACTAGGGGAGCCCCCAAGGTTATGGTCCCAGCACTCTTCCGATACTTGGCAATGTCCTGAAGGGCAAGGCCGACGTTCCCTTGGCGCACGCCACCTGCATTCATTTCTTCATCTTAATTCATAGCTGGCGCAAGTAATTAGCAATTATAAAACGAATACAAATGCTAAGCAAGCGTAGCGATTAAATGCACATGCACGAAAACTAGACGTGAACACCGAACAATTATTATAAAGCTATTTCACTAAACTTAATCTAGTAATATAAGTATATCACTAAACTTGGTCCGTTTTATAACTATATCCCTAGTGAGATAGTAATGAATCGCTTTCGTATAACTATGTTCCGGTATATAATTATATCCCTAGGGATATAACTATATTACGGCTACATCTATCTTACTGCGACATATACACCGGAATTTCACTAATTTGCATTAAAAACTGACGAAATTCAATGACGCCCAAGCCATACATACGGCTTGGGCACCGCCCACAATAATATAAATGCGTGCATTTGTACAAATTTTATTAATTTAAATGAAATTGTTCACAAAAACAACTACCGGTATCTAACAGCTGTTTAAATAATCGCCATCTTGGGTAGTGTATCGTAGCGTTTTCTACAGGGTCCTAGCGTTCGCTTCGTAAGCGTACATTAGAAACGTTTACAGTCGAATTCGCTTGTCAAATGTGCCACTTGGCTACGCATTTGTATGGAGAATATCGTATTACATTGTCGTTTCGTTTAATGGAATAGAATCGTGATACACTTGGCTACCAATTACACGTTCGAAACGCTAGATCAAATTTCATGACGTCAATTCATTCATAAACCATTCTATTCTACTGGCGTTTGTGCCACTTGTCTAGGCCCTCTGGCGTAAACACGCATTCATCATAAAATCAAGCATTTTCCAGAACCTTTTAAATTGTCATTACCAGTCCACTAACCAGCCGAAAAAATCTTGACGAACCTCCATCGTCAGAAATAAGCTACTAGAGACTGTTGACAGTATGGCGGTGGATGTGCTTTCATCATCATATCAGCCACAGGACGTCCACTGCTGAACATAGGCCTCCCCATTGACCAGTTAGGCCGGTTGGAAGCGACCTGCATCCAGCGTCTTCCTGCGACCTTAATCAGGTCGTCTGTCCACCTTGCGGGTGGACGTCCTACGCTGCGCTTGCCGGTACGTGGCCTCCACTCGAGAACCTTTCTGCCCCAGCGGCCGTCGGTTCTACGCGCTATGTGCCCTGCCCATTGCCACTTCAACTTACTAATCCGCTGGGCTATGTCGGAAACCTTTGTTCGTTTGCGGACATCCTCGTTTTTTATACGGTCTCGCAAAGAAACTCCGAGTATAGCCCTTTCCATAGCGCGCTGAGCGACCTTGAGCTTCTTTATAAGGCCCACAGTAAGAGACCACGTTTCAGTTCCATAGGTCATCGCTGGTAACACACATTGATTATAGACTTTCGTTTTAAGGCACTGAGGTAAGTTGGACGAGAAGATGTTGCGTAGTTTCCCGAACGCTGCCCATCCAAGTTGGATTCGACGATTGACCTCCTTCTCGAAATTGGACCTAGCTGGATCACTTGTCCCAGGTACACATATTCGTCAACAATTTCGAGGTTAGAACTCCCAACTGATATCGGATAGGGCGTGACATGGGCGTTTGCCATGACTTTCGTCTTGTCCATGTTCATTCGGAGCCCTATCTGTTGAGAAACTCTACAGAGGTCATCGAGCATTGTGCTCAGATCCTCTAGCGATTCTGCCATGACCACAATGTCGTCGGCAAACCGGAGGTGAGTGATGTACTCGCCGTTGATGTTGTGGATGTGCTTTAATTAATATCAAATATTTTTGTTCTTAATAACACTTACCTGCATCCCAACAACAGCGTAAATGAAGAACAGAAGAACGATCAACAGCGCGACGTACGGCAGTGCTTGGAAAGACTTGATGAAGGTCCAAAGAAGAGTCCTGATCCTCTCTCCTCTGGACAGCAGCTTTATCAGACGCATAGCTCGGAAGAGACGGAAGAACGTGATGTATTTTAGAAGGTTGGAGCCCTTAAAGAAGCATTACATATGCACAACAGAAGAATTGGTTTAGAAAAATGTAATAAATATTTGTATTAAATTTTTAAGTTGTTTTTAAATGCTACTTACCTCTTTATTAGCTTTGCTGACAAGTCCGAACTGAAAAGAAATAAAATGATATTACATATTTATTTTTTATGAGTACTTCAATATCTACAACTACAGTTATTACTTTGTGGAAAATAACTAAATACAGGAACAATCATAGATATAAATCTGTTCCGAATAGGAACAAATTCGAGTCTCACAGTCCAATTTAAATAAAAAAGAAGTTGAGCTGTTTAAGCCGTGGAAATGATAACAAAAAACAAACAGAACCTTTCTATCCTACAGTTAAATAAAAATCTTACCCTAGGACGTGTTAAAAAAAGGTTTGCTGATATATTTATCCTTTTCGATACTAGAAAATGACCGAAAATGTAACGTTCATAGGCCGGGCCACAATTTTGTTACGTACCAGAATTAGGTTTTCAGATGAAGAATTCAAATTTGGAATCCTAAATACTAAGCTTGCATACAAAATGGGATGTTCAACGGGAGCACGTAATTCTTATTTTTTCAGAAATGAAAAAAAAAGAGCCACGTACTTGTGCCCTAGTCTTATGGAATTCTGAAACTGAATCTCTCATCTAGGAACCTGATTTAGAAATGTGCGGCCAGAATTATTGTTATATTAATTAAATAGTATACTCACGTCAGCCGGAGGTTTGTTTTCGTTGACTTGTGTCACAACAATATCTATAATACTGCCGACCACAAGAATAAAGTCTGTAGTATTCCATGCGTCACCGAAGTAATTCTGAAAGTAAAAAGAAACTACAATAAAAATCCATAAACTTATAAGACAGGACTGCAAGGGTCAAGATTTCGTTTCAAATATTAGATAATCAAGACAAACAATCAGGACAGACAAAGGAACAGTGGTCATTGGTTAGCAGTGAAAGCCATATTTGGCTATCGATGATGATGAGAATGACGATGAGCTAAGTCATCATGAGAATGCGTTAAAAGCTCTGACTGATTGACAAACAATTTTAACCCAATCTCCACTAATGTTAACATTGACTTTGTTGGCAGCATAGTGTGGGAGAGTGATGCTCCGGACATCTGGGACAACCATGAGTGGGCTGGATTGACCGGAGTGATATCACTGCCTCACAGAGTACTGAAGATGAAAAACACTTATGTTGTGTTTGATCATGTTCTAGAGGGGTTACTGAAGGATCCAGAGACTCAATTCCCTCTTACCAAAAATCCTCAAATAAGGACCCATAGAAGGCCGGCCATGATCCGATCATCCGACAAATGATCCGTCAACTTGTTTGCCTAACTTTCCAATTAAAATGGTATACATAACCCAATAGTATTATTCATACCTTAAATCTAAACGCAGCGAGCTTGAATACAAACTCCAGCATAAAAACCGTCGTTAACAGCATATTTATGTAGTCGAGAACCTGGAAGAAAAGGAAGAAAAAAGTTTAATTATGACTGGAGGTTGGTGCGGTGGCTGGGCAACTGGTTGCCGTGCAACGTGTCGCGTGTCGATTCCCGCACGGAACAACACATTGTGTGATCCATAAATTGTTGTTTCGGGTCTGGGTGTCATGTGTATGTGACATTGTATGTTTGTAAACGCACCCACAACACAGAAGAAAATTCTAGTGTGGGGCAACGTTTTATTAAAAAAAAAAACTCATTTGAGCTTTTTGTAGGAGTTACTATCTCATTTTAATACAGCTATAAAACCATCGACAAATTACGTTGATATGTATTTCAAAACTAGTTCAATTTTTTTTTCTATTATTCGGTATTCTCTAAACAAAAATTCTGAATTCTTTGATAATATGACTCTATTTCCTCACAAATAATCAAAATATATTTTAATTCCTCCTGCTTAACATAACCTTTAGACACCTTTATATCTAATTCACTACGACATGTAATATATTTATCATATAAACCATTCGCTTCTAAATATTTTTGCTCTAACACTTTCTTTGTTCTTTTAACTTTACTTAATTTTAGTAAATTGACTTTAATATTTTTAATTAATGTATGAATATCTATTAAATCAGACATTTAACCCTTAACTCATGAAAAATAAATGAAGTGGGGCAACATAAAGAAACCTATTCTAAATCTTAACTAAAATACCTCTGTCCATGCCGTACACTTGAAACACTTCACACACACATTTTCACTTTATCGTAACATATGAAGACTCTCTTATCCGATGTCTGCCTTTGTCTAGCCGAGTTTTACTCAAGGCTAAACGCTCTCGATATTGGACTCTTTGCTCCTTGGGTCACGCCTTGGGCCAGAACGCCTAAAAGCACTCCTGGCTATCTCCGCTCGCATCCAGTCTACGTGACAGCGTTTATACAGCTTGTATACTCCAAACCAAACTCCAATAGTCAGGATGACCAACATCGCACCCAGTATAAAATTGGTCACTGACTGATTTTGATGTAGTTGGGCAACATCAGCAGCATTTACGCCACCTGCGGCGTTTTGCGCAATCACAACTTCTTTACTTTGTGGTTTTCCCATTGTCAGAATCAAAATTACGCACCAAACTTATAACTTTGTCCGAACAATAACGCAATACAATAGTTTTTTCCCTCATGTCACTACGCGCGATGTACTGAGCCCGGAATCCGACACCGAACCTTAAATGGCAGGGTCGCCATGTAAGGACGGGACTTAGGAGAATCAAACAAGATGTTGTTGGTTACACGTTACGTTTATTAATGCCTCTCTACCTAAAAGATACAATGTTATATTCTTATAGACTAATGATTACTTACTACGTCACACGCCCTCTCAAAAAAGGAAAAAAAAAATGTAAACTATAAAAACATTTTTTTTTTTTTTTTTTTTTTTTTTTTTTTTTTTTTTTTTTTTTTTAAATTTAAACATAATTCATTCAATTGTGTAGATTCAGCTTTTATACATTTTTCATTGTATAATAATTAGTTAATTGTAAGTTAGTATCCAATATCTATTTCAGTACACTTTACAATCTAAACAATAAACAATGACATCGGTACAAGTCTTCATTTGATATCGTACAATTACAAACAAAAGTGTTACAGGAATATAATCTTATTCATAATACAGTCTAGTTCTATTTTTATGAACAGTTTTTTCCTTTCCCTTAACTAAGATAACAACATTTGGAGATATGTCCTTAACTACTGAAAATGGACCTAAATATAATGGATCAAGTTTGTTACTGTTCTCATTTTTAACCAATATTAAATCACCAGTTTTATACGTTATTGGATTTATACTGCTATCATATTTACTTTTTCTAATAATTTTAGAATTAATAAGATTGGTTTTAGCATCCATTTGAGACTTTTGTATACGATATTTTAATTCAACAGCATAGTTATCAAAATTATAAATCGGATCTATTGTAGTAGTGAGGTTGGAAGGTATGTTACATTGTTTCCCGAATACTAATTCATATGGCGTAAATTTTGTACTCGAATGTACTGAAGTGTTATATGAGAAACACCAGTAGGATACCCATGAACTCCATTCCTGTGTTTGACTATTAACTTGCATTCTCAAATAAAAAGTTAAGTGTTTATGGCTATTTTCTAATGAACCTAAAGTTTGATGATGGAAAGCTGTAGATTGTAAATGATTTATATGTAAAATTGTACATACCTCTTTCATTATGCTGTTGACAAATTCGGTTCCTCTGTCGCTTACTATCTCACGGGGAATGCCATATCTAAGAATAAAATTATTTACCAGTGTTGTGGCCACCGTACGCGCATCCTTACCCGCTATCGGATACGCCTCGACATATTTGGTGAGGTCACACTGTAGTGTTAAAATGTAGTTATAGTTGTTATCTCGTGGTAAAGGACCTACTAGATCCATATATACTTTATCGAAAGCTGAATTTCCACAATCCGTTATAACCATAGGCTCTTTTACTGTATTTAAATATTTATAGCGTTGACATTTATTACATTTCATTACAAAATTAGTAACATCACGCTCTAATCCACTCCAAAAATATTTTTTACGAATATTGTTTAACATACGTCTTATCCCTGCATGTCCACTAGTAGGAAGAATATGATAATCGTTCAAAATTACTCTCTTTGTATCGTCGTCGACAATCTTTTTAACGCCTTTTACTACGCATAAGCGGGGTCCGGACCACTTAGGCAATTTATTTATATATTGAGCTAGCTCTTTTATTATTCTTACGTTATTTTCATCTTTAATTATATATAAAGTATCTATTTTTAAATCAGCACAAAATAATTCCATTTCTCTCACAGAGACCGCTCGTGTACGCTGTGATTGAGTAAATAGTTTTACATATATGGTGCGATCTGACGCCGAATACGCATAATCACCATTCTTTAAAGACACATATTTTTTAACTTTCATCCATTCTTTCTCATTCACAAATACCAATTCCGTGTAATCCTTCGGTAGTTTTAACATTTCTACAACTCTTGGGTGATCAGTCCAATCGTTTTTAGGAATATTAGCCACCGAAGTATGATTATCAGAATTTTTCTCAAGCTCCCGTCTCTTCGCTCTAGTAAGTACAGACACAATGTGTTCGTTCATCGCCCGTAATTCTTCACCAGTCACTTCTATGCGCGACAATGCATCTGCAGCTACATTATCACGCCCTTTCACATAAACCACTTTGTAATCGTACTCCTCTAGTAATAACCGAAATTTTAATAATCTACTGGAAGGATCTGTCAAGTTATACAAGTATACTAAAGGCCTATGATCCGTTTCAATAATAAATTGTCTTCCATAGAGATAAGGCCTAAAATATTTGACGGACCATACTATCGCTAACAATTCTTTTTCAATTGTAGGATATCTGCACTCGGCCTTGTTTAAACTTCGGCTGGCGTAAGCAATTGGCCTACGATCAGCATTACACAAAACTAAACCTATAGCGTACCCTGACGCATCGGTTTGAAGAATAAAAGTATTACTGTCATCAAACAAAGGATATTGTAATACCGGAGGTTTTACTAAACAGTTTTTTAACATAGAAAATGATTTCTGGCAGTTTTCATCCCAATTATAAGTTACGTTTTTACGACATAAATTGTTTAATGGTATGCAAATCTCGGCAAAATTCGGAATAAACTTCCTGTAGTAATTAGAAAATGCTACGAAACGTTTTAGTTCATCAGCGTTTTTAGGAACTGGATAGTTATTTAAAACTTTAATCTTTTCTGGATCAGGTCTTATACCATCAGCTGATACAACGTGGCCTAAATATAATATTTCTTTTCTAAGAAAATCGCACTTGTCCGGATTTAACTTCAAATTTACTTTCCTTAGCCTAGCCAAAATGTCTAATAAATTCTTATTATGTATATCTAAATTTCTTCCAAAACAAATTAAATTATCTAAATAAATAAAACACTTGTCATAATTTAGTCCTGACATCGCGACTGTCATTAAACGTGAGAAAGAACTGGGACTTGTCTTTAACCCCATCGGCATACGGGTCATCTGATACTGGCCGGAGGGTGTTGTGAACGCCGTGTACTTTCTACTGTCTGAATTTAATTTTGCCTGATAGTACGCTTGAGTTAAATCTAACTGTGAAAAATATATTGCGCCAGAGAGTGAATCTAATATATCGGTTATGTTGGGGAGGGGAAATTTATCATCCATAATGCGGTCATTTAATTTCCGAAAATCAGCAACTAAACGCCAACTTTTCTTGTTATCCTCTAGTTTCTTAGGTACCAGTAGCACTGGACTAGACCACTCACTACTTGCGGGTTCTATAATACCATTGGAAAGCATTTTTTGAATCTGATTTTCAATTTCATTACGCTGTGAAAATGGCAACCGATATTGTTTAGTATAAACCGGATCCGAATTGGGTTTCAACTGAATTTCTTGTTCGTAAAGGTTACAAGTGCCTAATTTATCTCCCGGTAAGTAAAATACGTCAGCAAATTTTGCACATATGTTTTGTATACTTATGGATTCTTCTTTGTTCAAGTGTTGTAATTTTATCAACGATAATAATTTCCTAACTCTTTCGCCGCTTAAATTTTCCTTTTCGAATGCACACATATTATAATAAGATAAACGATCAATGTCAGGTTTAAAATAACTAAGTTGAACTTCTGTTTCACGTGTATTTAAAATTTGTATTAATATCTTTCCCTCCTTGGGTTGACAGATACTTCCAGCAATAAATACACCGTCGCATAATTCTCTCGGAAATACAACGCAAGCCTCACTCTCAAAACAATGAACTTGGAAAAATTTTTCACACCTTGGTGGTACTGTAATAAATAAGTTTTTACCTAATTTCCCTAATTCTAAACTGGTTGTAACTGAACTATCGCATTCATTTATTGTCAACGTGTTATGTTCATAATTTAAAACACAATTGTACTTCTTTAAAAATTCTTGCCCAATTATACCGTCTTGAATACAAGGTAGATTCTTTAGAACATAAAACTTATGTTTGAATTCTTTTCCACATATGGAGAATGGTATGTAAACATAACCGTCGGTGGTCGATTTGCCACCAATACCATTAATGGTAATGCATTCTGGTTGCAGAGGAATATTCCAGTCTCTAATCGTTTCATATTTCACCACTGACAAAGAGGCTCCCGTGTCAACTAACATTCTATATTTAGAATCGAATATTGACAATTCTACAAAGTTATTATAGTTACATGTTAAAATAAAGTTAGGATCGAAAAAACTCTAAATCTAAATTTTGATTGCTTGTCGACGCGCCTTGAATATCATTTCTCGACTGATCTAGCAAATAAGTATTATGCCTGTTATTGCGATTATAGTTTCCCGAATTCGTAGCCTGACTGTAATTACGTCCACGTCCTCGCGGATTGTTAACAAAACTTCTTGCGCGCCCTCGGTAATAAGTCCTAACAGGTACCTGATTCCTCGGAGGCGGTTGCGGTGTCGACCTATAATAATTACGATTCGGAATATAAACACGTCCTCGGCTTTGTCCTCTATAAAATTGATTATACTTACCTCGATGCTGAGCCGCAAAGACTGTCTCCGCCGATGTGCTGTGACCTTGGTGCGCCCGTTCCTCATCTTTAGCCGCACGTATAACATCTTTCAGTTCTGAGTAATCTCTAGCCGTTAAAATGGTACTCAATCGACCATTTCTCAAGCCTTCTGTAAACCGCTGAATAGCTAGTTTTTCATTTACAGGTCTAAACATTTTATACGCGTCTTCTTTACCGTCCGCTTGAGATATAGTCAATTCAACAAATAAGTCCTCAAGTTTCTTACCAAATTCTTCAATGCTTTGGGACCCTTGTCGAGACTGCAATAGCTCCAACTGAAGCGCCGTGGCAGACTGCTTCGTCAGCAAATTATTTTTCATGTCCTTTATAAGATCTGCGGAAGTATCATAGTTAGATGCCAAACGTAATTTGGCATGTCGGGATATGCGAGTTTTAAGAACAAAGGATATTAATAAAGATTCATGCTCTTTCTTAATGTTTTGGCTATAAAATTCAAGAGCATCTATTAATTTTTTAGTACATTCCTCCTCTCCTGTCATCACAGGTAGAAGAGAAGATGCAGTTTTCATGTCAAACTCAGTCATGGTGTTCACGGTACTTAGGCTTTGTTCGTTCTCTAAACAAAAATTCTGAATTCTTTGATAATATGACTCTATTTCCTCACAAATAATCAAAATATATTTTAATTCCTCCTGCTTAACATAACCTTTAGACACCTTTATATCTAATTCACTACGACATGTAATATATTTATCATATAAACCATTCGCTTCTAAATATTTTTGCTCTAACACTTTCTTTGTTCTTTTAACTTTACTTAATTTTAGTAAATTGACTTTAATATTTTTAATTAATGTATGAATATCTATTAAATCAGACATTTAACCCTTAACTCATGAAAAATAAATGAAGTGGGGCAACATAAAGAAACCTATTCTAAATCTTAACTAAAATACCTCTGTCCATGCCGTACACTTGAAACACTTCACACACACATTTTCACTTTATCGTAACATATGAAGACTCTCTTATCCGATGTCTGCCTTTGTCTAGCCGAGTTTTACTCAAGGCTAAACGCTCTCGATATTGGACTCTTTGCTCCTTGGGTCACGCCTTGGGCCAGAACGCCTAAAAGCACTCCTGGCTATCTCCGCTCGCATCCAGTCTACGTGACAGCGTTTATACAGCTTGTATACTCCAAACCAAACTCCAATAGTCAGGATGACCAACATCGCACCCAGTATAAAATTGGTCACTGACTGATTTTGATGTAGTTGGGCAACATCAGCAGCATTTACGCCACCTGCGGCGTTTTGCGCAATCACAACTTCTTTACTTTGTGGTTTTCCCATTGTCAGAATCAAAATTACGCACCAAACTTATAACTTTGTCCGAACAATAACGCAATACAATAGTTTTTTCCCTCATGTCACTACGCGCGATGTACTGAGCCCGGAATCCGACACCGAACCTTAAATGGCAGGGTCGCCATGTAAGGACGGGACTTAGGAGAATCAAACAAGATGTTGTTGGTTACACGTTACGTTTATTAATGCCTCTCTACCTAAAAGATACAATGTTATATTCTTATAGACTAATGATTACTTACTACGTCACAATTTGTTCAGCTAGCATTTCTGCTAATTGGCCAAGACCTTGACTTCTCCAATTGGTCCGTATAAGACCTGATCTCCCCATTATTGCTCATAAAGTTTAAAATCAAATAATACTTTGACTAGTCAATATTATGCTAATGTCGTGTTGGCCCAAAGTTTCAGGCGTCTGCCTTTCTAACATGAAGATGCTTGTTCGAAATCTTGCAAGTACCAATGTGACTTTTTCCAATTTTATTAAGACCCCACTGATATACGTTGAAGGAAATCATCGTGAGGAAACCTGAACTTATGAGTTTGAAATGGTCAATCCGCCTTGTACAAGCGTGGTGATTAATGCTCAAACCTTCTCCATGTGAGAAAAGGCTGGTGATGATGAACACTTTGACTTGAAATATGACAAAAACGAACCTTCTTATACTCCGGAGAGGCTCCATGGAACTTCATCATCAGCGCCACTGTGTTTAGGACAATGAAGAAGAAGATGCAGTACTCGAACCGTTGTGACGTCACAAACCACCATGTCTTGTACTGAATCCTATGCTTGGGGATGTATCTGGAAGATGAAAAGACTAACTAGTTGACCTTTAAGTTACATACGTTGTTTGGATAACGCAGTTAGATTTAAATTCTTTATGTGTTGCAAACCTCATCAACATTTTAAGCGTGGGAGAGCCATGCTTCGGCATGAATAGGCCGGCTTAACACGGCCCCAAAAAAAACGAAAACGGCGTGCAACACTTACGTTGTGTGAGGTGTGTAAGGTTACCAGAGACCCAATTATTGCCCTCCACCTTAATCCTCAAATCCCCTACCCTTAAATTCCATATAATCCACAAGAGGCCGGCAATGCACTTGTAGTAACTCCTTTGGAGTATCCATGGGTGGCGCTGACCACTGAAATCTCCACTAACAATCCATCTGCTCAAATCTTCTCCGTGTGAGAAGAGGCCTTTGCTCAGCACTCAGCAGTGATAATGAAGATGACTATGCACAGATTCTAAATTACTAGCTCCTTACCTTCTAACAGGTTTAGCTTTTAAAGCAAACTCAATGCAGTTCCTCTGGTTCTTGTCCAGTTCGCAGTCCTTGAATTCTTGTTCTCCCTCCTTCTGGAATGTTACTATGACGAAACCTACGAAGATGTTGACCTGAAGAACAGGAAACATAGAAGATTAGATCACCTTGTTTCTTGGCTAAGAGTTTTGTATAGGTTTTCAAAGGAAAGAATGGAATTGGGTCTTTTTTGGCCATGTTACAGCATCAAGCCATTTTTTGCTGAAGTGACTTAAAGTTTTTAAGTACGTTTTTTTAGTATTTTGCTGGAAACACAGTGTAAAAAAGAAGAATTTCTTTCCCTGACAAAAATACATAAATTCAAAAGAACTTGAGCCAGTTAAGTATAAAAAAGGACTTTGTCGACCTATGCTATTAAAAATCATCAAGTTTTAAGAAGAATCAATTTTGAACACTTTGGGTCATCCGGAAAGCGGAATAAAATAATGTGGCCCCAGGTTGGAACAGGTGGAAGAACCGAGTGGTTTAAGCTTTAAGACTCTAAGAGTCTGAAACTGCCTGCCCCCATCCAGGATAGCTGAAGACAGCTGATGACTTTCCTCTCATCAAAAAATTAATTGCAGTTGCCTGGTGATGACTTACCATGAAGAATGCAATAACAATAATATAGCTGATGTAGAAGAAAGCGACCAAAGGTCTGGAATTTTCGATAGGACCATGTCGTTCCTCGTTCGAATCCATTGACGTTGATAGAAGTCTGGAAAACAAAAAATTGTTAACAAAAGAACTTAGGAACATAGACACGAGAATTAGAGAGAATACTATACTTTATTAGGTCTATACATACGAACTATAGACCACACTTCAAGCTACGCAAAACATAGTAGTAAATAAAAATGAATATTGAATGCGTGGAAAGGTAATACGTAGTGAGATCATGATAAACTGGAATTTAATAGCATGCCTCCACAAATCCAACTATGTAATAAAACTGGTTGGTAACCAAAGTTTTGGTTGCATGATAATAGAAAAAAGTTTTCACACTTTCACACGTCAAAACCTAGAGGAAGCTGGGTTTCATTTTTATAAAAATTGCTGCTTTTTATCCACATTCAACGCGGGTGAAACCGCGGGCGGTTGCTAGTTTTAATATAAACACTACTCACCCTGGCCACCCTTCGAAGGTAGATACTGTGAATAACGTGAGCATCCCGTTGAGCACGTCGTCAAAATTGAACTTATTCCGAATCCAAAACCTCTCCTCAATGTCCAGCTTGCCATTTTTATTAATCAAGTATGTTCCCCTGAAACACGATGTAAATCGATTACGACATCTTTTCTTACACTTTCTCTGCTGATACTCAGTCTGCGTGGAGTCCTTACAACCTCGAATGATAAAATTAAGTGCATTGTTTGTGTGTACACATAGTAAGCAGGTATTACTTCTCAATAAAATCATTTAGAACACACTGCAAAAAAGATATTTTTTTAAGATTTGTGGCACCGCTTTTAGCTTGTCATTACGAGATTTTTCTGCTTAATTTACATACAACTGGTTTGAAACAATGCTTACGTTGTATTTCGCAGTTTAAGTAAAGTTACTCAAGGCGTTATCCCATCACTAACTCCCAAAATCCTCAATGCACAAATTCTCAATAACCCCCAAAAAGCAACCCTCTTATAACTTCAATGGTATCGCGGATACCCATAGGCAGCGTTGATTTATTATTTTCACAAGTTTCTCACTTGTTTGCTCCTAGGAACCTAGGAGAATAATGCTGTGGCCTGAATGGGCCGGCTCAATCTTAGTGATAAAAAACAGGCATGAAACAACCACAATGTTGTATTGCGCCGTGTGAGTAAGGTTATAGGCACAATCTTAGATCTTAGCCCCTCCCCCGGTAGAGGAGGAATTCCCCAACCCCTAAATCCCCAAAAGTCGTTATCTCCAAAACTAATAACGCAACGCTGATTTTGCGGGTGTCTATCATCATCATTATCATATCAGCCACAGGACGTCCACTGCTGAACATAGGCCTCCCCCATTGACTTCCAGATAGGCCGGTTGGAAGCGACCTGCATCCAGCGGCTTCCTGCGACCTTAATCAGGTCGTCTGTCCACCTTGCGGGTAGCCGTTTGAGTGATTTCCTAATTTCATAAAAAACACGTCAAGTGCTCACGTTGCAAAAAAAAATGGCGCCGCGCCGCGCCAGATGGCCAAGGTCACAAGATGTTTATGTTTTGTGACGTGTCGGTAATTTAAGTCGCCTCAAGTAATGTTATTATTCAAGCTAATGAATGACTCTTTCAAGTCGTTCAAGTGTTTGTTGACATTAAGTTTCAAATGTTTTTATTTATAACTGTAAACAATGACTATAGTTGAAAATGATTGTTTGAACTTTAAAAAAGATTATTTTTAAAAGTTAAGCGGTAACATATATATTTATGACTTGTAATGGTGGAAGGATTCTATCTACACACGAATAAATAATAAGAACCTACTTAAACACAATTGATTTGTACTAAAATTAGCCCGAGATAACACCCGCCAAACGCGCGAGAACTAACAACTGACTTTGACAGTATTTTTTTTATTCCGAATGAACCAGTGTTGTACTACCGTCGTATTTTTAGCATGAAGAAATCTAATAAGATTCGAGTAGAAAAGAGAAAAAGTATTAAAACACCGTGTGATAGAAAGAAATAAATATATTATGATGTCGTATCGCACTGGAACGAAAAAAGGGACAAAAGTCACTTGTAGCACTCAACGGTAAAATCAAAAAAGGGACAAAAGTCCCTTTGAGCACTCAAGGGGGTAGACGTCCTACGCTGCGCTTGCCGGTACGTGGCCCCCACTCGAGAACCTTTCTGCCCCAGCGGCCGTCGTTTCTACGCGCTATGTGCCCTGCCCATTGCCACTTCAACTGACTAATCCGTTGGGCTATGTCGGAAACCTTTGTTCGTTTACGGACATCCTCGTTTTTTATTCGGTCTCGCAAAGAAATTCCGATGTCTAGGGGTCTATGGGGGCGTCAATTGCTTACCATAATGTTATCCTTATAATATGCTAGTTTGCCTACATATCACATAAAAAGAATAATGAGCTAAAACCAGAAGCTGCAACTGCCATACAAACGGATACTTACTTGCACTGCTCCTCAGTAACTTTGGTGATATCTGTGCATCTATAGAATTTACCCTGAAACCGAAATATTTTTATAGATATTTCATTATTACATTATTTAAAATGGAGTTGTGTCAGATTTAACAAACTTTTAAAGAAATCTAAATATTATAAAATAATTTGGATAATAAAAAATGCAGATTAAAACTCTTCTAACAACATCAAAATGAACTCAATTTGATTTCCAAATAATATTTAAAAAAATCTCAAAATGGTAAAAAAAATATCATTCATACCTACCTATGTATATCTGTAAGTATAAAAACATCAGTAGATTTTCTTAACTTACATAATATTTCTATGGTTTAAACTATACAATTGGAATCACCTGACCTCGCTTGCTACACAACGCTGAAGCTAAGCACATAAAACAAATACAATTAGTTACAACATCACATATTGTTACATAGCTCACTATGTTAATATTAGCTGAACTAACTTTCCTTTTTGGCAACCCTAAATCATTTAAAAAAAAGAAATACTTATACTATGTATACTTACAATTACAACAAAAACTAACTACAGTAAGAGAAAGAAAAAGAAATATATTAAGAATTTCCTTGCTGCTTTAAATAAACATATTGATAAGTAATTTTAATTAGGAAAATCTAGAAAGTGAAATAATCTAGATAAAAAAGAAAATCATAAAATTCCTTATAAAAGTGAAATAGCTATAAGTAAAGTAGTTACTACAAGAAACTAGAAAGCAAGAAAAGTCCAAAAATGTTGGGAAGGAAATATAACTAGAAGAAACTCTAATTATAAATACAATAATATGTTTTTTTATTATAAAAAGTGTTGATGAATGTAAAGGAGGTACAGAAAATTACCTTGAACAACTGTATTCCGACAACAGCGAACATAAATTGCAACATATGATTGATTATAAAGATATTTCCAATAGACTTTATTGATGCAAACACACACTTGACAACATACTAAAGCACAATATGCAAAAATCGTGTTAAAGCGGGCAAAACAATAACGTTACCGAGTTGCAGTGTATTTTTTATTTTTGTATATTTTTTTTTTAGTTTGTCACCCATTTGTCCCAATGTGCGTGTTGGTGTAGGTATGCAAACCACGTTGTAGGTATAATTGTGAAAAAAAAAACAAACAATGCAAAAATAAATAAAAACGTTAGAAAAAATCGCATAACCCAAAAAAAAACTCTTAAATCTGCACCTACTTACATCGCGTTAGTCCTTGGTTTTTTAGAAAAAGAAAAAAAAACTTTATTCGCTTTTCTGTACAGGCACGTCAGTGTCCTGTTCTGACAGTATGGTTTTGGAAAAAAACGGAACACAGGTAATAAACCAAGTACCTCACTACTAGTTTTTGAGTGAAATGTCAAGGTAGGGCCTTGTGCAACAGAAACACACCGAAGCACATAATAAATTTTGAGTCCAAAAAATCACAAACTTGGAAAAAAATTAACTTGACAAAACAATCGCACAACACCTTTGGGCAAATTTGAAACAGAAAATAAAATTAAAAAGAAGCATGCAAGCTCCTAAAGTGAAAAGAAATTCAAAGAATTTTTTGGACCCACGGCAAAGCGAAAAAAAAATTGTTAGTATACTAATTTTTTGTATCGCAGATAAACAAGCCTCACACAGATTAAAGAAACGAAATCAGATGATTGTATTTTTTATTATTTATTTTATCAAAAATAAATAGTGCAAGAATATTTTCCGAGTGCATAAAAATACTTACTTCCATACAAACTTATGTAAATTGTAAATAAATTGACCCAAAGGTGTCGCTCAGTAAGAAAAAAAGGTTTATTAAGATTTTTCTTTCTTTGTTTCCCCCTACCTTGAACATTTGCACTCCCATTACAGCAAACATGAACTGTAGAAGATTTGTCACCAACAAAATGTTGCCAATCGTCTTAATAGCGACGATCACGCACTGTACTACGTGCTAAAAATTGACAAAACATCTTTTATAATTTTGCAAAATATTCCAATTCATTGTAACTTTTGTACTGAAATTTTTAAAACACTTTTTTAATAAAGTACTTAAATGAAACTAACCTTCAATCCTTTGGCTCTGTTGATTGCCCTTAAAGGTCTCAACACTCGGAATACTCTCAAAATCTTTATAAATGAAACAGTGTTTTTGGACCTGAAGAAAAGAAAAACATTATTACTTGAAAACATGTTACCAAAAGTTCCTTGCGGATTTTCTTAAAATCAATAAGCCCTAGTCCACATTTTTGTCACACAATCAGACACACACTTATTACAAAGTTTATGTCATTTTACGTAAACGAGACCCACAAAAACTTCTAAATTCTCTCACCCATTGGTGAGAGAATTTAGAAGTTTTAAATTTAGAACCAAAATCTAAATATTCAAGCTAACTCACCCATCCAAAGAAATCAAAGACACGATAACAACGAGTAAGTCAAGGAGATTGAAAGCTGATCTGCAGAAGGCATCCTTGTGTAAGATGAAACCATATGTGATGACCTTCAGGAGTAGTTCTACAGTGAATACAGTGGTAAAGAAGTAATCAATTTTACGAAGGATCTGAAATATGAAACAAAAAATGATTAAAATGTTGAGCGTAATGTACAGGTGAGCAACGGACAAGCGACTGTAGCGGCAATACAGATTTCATTACATGTTACAGCTATCAATGGGCAAAAGAAAAGTTTCTGAATTAAATTGTGTTCTATAAAAAAAAACACTCTCGTATGATTCACTGATAGAGACTAGTTGAAATGAATACAAAGTTTCAACAAAGTTTTAAAATGTAATCAGGAATATTGATTGCTGATTATTTCTAATTGACTTTCTAATTATTTGACAATGGTCATGTTTATCATATTCCATTCGAAAATTCCATAATCATCTCTGGTCATGAAAATGGATCAGATAATGAAGTCTGATATCCATTTAAAGTCTTATTTCTAAGGCAAAAGAATCAGTTAGCACTTCAGCTTGAGGAATTATCCTACCTCTGTCTGCTGTTCACTGTCCTTACTACCGACAGGGTCTTCCATAGCCAGCATAAGAGAAGACGCTAGAATGCAGAGCAGAATCAAATTCTTGAACCATGAATTCTTCTGGATTTTGTAACATGTCACTCTGAACCTGAAAAAAGAAAATCATTAGAGAATTTATGTTACAAGTTCCATTTACAATAAAAAACTTAAAATCGCCAGATCTAAATTAAGCTACATTGAAGTTCGGTTGGTGTAGTCGCGAGCTAACATGTTGGCAAGTTCGATTTTGGCACAGATAGATTTTTACGGCCCACAATTATTATAGTTCCCAGGTTTGGTTTGGTTGCGTATATGAATGCTTGTAAACACACCCATCACATTAGAGAAAATTCTAATAATGCCACATTTTAAGACGGGCTACGTAAAAAAATGCGTTAAACCTTACAATATGTATTAAAAGTTGTCGTGATCTCACAATATTGAAATTAATATACGACTTAACTAACCAATTAGTATTGGAGAAGATGAAGAAGCTACTGCCTTCAGGGATGGGCTTGTCCTCATTCTTCATTTCCACTTCAGATAAACGTCGAGGTCGCGCTGACGTTGCAAGCGCTGTCTGACGTTTCGGCGATTCTTCTTTCTTTATATCTCCTATTGAAAAACATAATTAAGAATATAACCATACAGCTAAAATGCATTTTAAAAGTTTGTATTATCTTTTCTTTTTAATCGACCAGATTTGGCATTAACCATATTGCACACATAAACATTATAGATATTCTATGACATATTTTATTTTATGTAGACAGATAAGTTTTGCAGTTCATACAAATCTGAGCATTAGGTGTTCACTTTTAATTACTTTTTTACCGTCAGTCTAGACTTACCATTTTGTTTTTTCTCATTTTGAACAAGAGTATTGTTAGCTTCATCTCTTACTTCTTGCTCCTGTTCTTCAACTTCTTCTTCCGAACCAGTCACTTCACTTTCTGACCTGGATTCATCATTAAAATCAATATCCATATCATGATCATCATTTTTAATTATGACTAATTCCAAATATTAGTAAAATATAAGTCGAAAGTTAATTATATCTATCTTACCTTGGTACTCTTTTATATTTCTTGTAAGGCCGGCTGTTAATGAACAGTTAGATATCATTAATACTTAAAAAACACGCAAGCAAGTGGATATCTATGAAAAAAGTTATTATGGTTCCTAATTATTACATGAAGTTATCTGCAGAACAATTAAACTAATATATTTGTTATGTTAGTTCATGAGGCAGAAAATAGAAATGTTAATTTAATTTTGTCACTATAGGTATCGTAACTTACTCTTCGCCAGAATAACCTTCTTCTTCGTTGACGTATTCATCATCAGTCTCGCCTCTCTCTTCATCAAGTTGAGGATTACCAGCTTCTGGGTGCTCTGCCTCCTAATACAGAAGTAAATTTAGTTTTATTTATTTGATTAATGCTTAAATACTTATATATTATTGAAAATTTATTTCAAGCAAATAGCTTCACTAAGAGGACAGACCACAGACTGACACTATATCTTCAAAATTTTGTTTGACGTTCGAAAATGCCTGTAAGGGTCTAACTGGAATAAATGACTTTTTGACATATGTAGTTGAAAATATACTTACATCTTTTTCTTTTTGAATTTCGTCCATTTCCTCGGCATCTCCTAAATTGTCGACAGCGATAGCCAAGAACACGTTTAGTAGAATATCTGTTGTGATGGTGCTAAGGAGATTAATGGTCACTAGGTATTCTTATCAGCTCCTACTGCAGAGAATTAGCTGAAAGAACTTTTATTTATATTGTTGTAAAAGAAAAATATTTGACAGGATGCATCCAAATATACCGGGGTTGTAGTTGCAGATTCAAATTCCATGAAAATAAGTTAAATTAAAACTTTTGGTGCAGCGAAGTAACAATGAAAAATATATTAAATGACGATTCATCATTATCTCCACCATCATCCACAAGTCACCGGCAGCTGATTGACAAATCAATTACGGCCTCCCTCAATTAATTCCGTATATACCAATTAGTATTATAGTCAGATATTATATTGAAAAGGATACAGTTACCACAAATGAAGATAACAATAAAATAGATAGAGGCCAACATGCCGGCCGTGCCGACTCCACCGTAAGCATTAATGCCGTGGTACATTACAGCATTCCAATCTTCACCAGTTAAGATCTGCAGTTAAACAAAAAACATATTATCTGAATGAGATCCTCGAATTCCAGCTGTCGTGTTTTTTTTACCAGAGCAAAAACCTCCACTCCACGTAGCGCACCCTGCTCGGTAATAAAAGACCAGAACTTGTGACTTGAAACCAGATGTTTTGTCATTTAATTCAAGTCAATGTTTTCAATTAAATAGAACGTTTTTCACGCACGATTGAAACTTTCAATATAGGAAACATCACAAGGTTAACCACTTTTACAGAAGCACTTAGAAGATAAATTCAAGTATTTAACTGTATAGTGTATATATATTTAACTGTGAGTTAGTAGACGCTGATGCTTACCGACATTATTTTAAATATACGTAACAATCTCAATCAACATTCAGTCTAACGTATTTATGTGTTTTTTTTTGTCAAATTCCAATTTACCTGAAACATTGTCAGCACGGCTTGCCAGAAAGAGTCAAAGTTATGCCTCTCCTTTTCCTCCTCGGGTTCGTAGTCAAATTTTCCTCCGAACACTTGCATGCCCAGCAGAGCGAAGATCATGATGAATAAGAAAAGCAGTAAAAGAAGAGAGAAGATAGATTGGATGGAGTTCAGAAGAGAGGCGACCAAGTTGGAGAGTGACCGCCAGTATCTGGAAATATAAATAAAAATATCTCTTTTTTGAAGTATCAAACCGTACACTGGAACATGAATTTTAGAACATATAGTGTGACCTAAAGGTTGAACAAAGGAACTTGTAGTCATTAGTTAAGTCCCCAAAAGTAATCACTTTTGCGAACTTAACTAACTTCTTAGTATGGAACCAATCTCTTATATAAATAAAATAAAGTAGGTACTTAAGTTTTATTTTTCCTTACACTAAGATTTTCTCCTGTATCGTGACATACAATTTCACATGCACATCACACCTAGACCCGGAACAACAATTTATGGATCACACAAAGAGTTGTTCTGTGCTGAAACGAACCTGCGACACATTGCGCGGCAGCCAGTTGCCCAGCGACCGCGCCAACCATGCAGTTAAGTAGCCTTAGTTGTAACTCAATGATTTTTATGAATCAAGAACGGCAGAACCGATTTCGTTGAAAATTGGAAAGGTTTAAAACCAGGAGAAGAACATAAGATACATATATAGAGAGTAGAGTAAGTATTTTAGAGTAGATGGAGTAGGATATATAGTGTAGGGTAGGTGGTGTCGGGAGCATACCGTGGGTAAAAGCTAGTTTTTTTTATAGAAATACTCACTTAGTCACTTTGAAGACTCGAAGAAGACGAACACAACGCAACACAGATATACCCAATTGTGGGATTGTGTTGGTAATGGTCAAAGCCAACTCCACAATGGAACAGAACATCACGAAGCAATCGAAGCGATTGAATAAGGAGACGAAGTAGCCCTGAAAGAAGAAAGAAAAAGAACCATTAATACAATAAGAGAAAAGGATGATGATGATGATGAACATAATATTTAATTTGTGTCATTCAGAATTGATTATTCAAAGTTAGTCGATCTGAAAATCAAGGATTATGTTTTCATAAAATTCAAATGTAGCGACAATTTTCCATTATAGCTTACCGACAGACATGATATAATCAATTAATAAATTGATGTTTAAAATCAAGTTTCAAATATAATTGTATGAAATATTTTAGTGGTTATATTGGTACATTATGCATAATTAAATTATGTATGATGATTTAAATTTCTTGAAATAATAAATATTGTATTTGAACACGTTTATAATAATAATAATAAGTAATAAAATTATCAGTGTAGATTGGTACTGACAAAAGACAGACGTAAAGTTAGTTTTCGGACGTAAAGTACTTCGTAAAACTGCTACAAATTAAAAAAAAATGGACTGTAACTTACTTGCAAGCCCAGTGCATACATCTTCACCAACATTTCCATTGTAAATAATACCACGAACAAATAGTTTGCGTATTCTTGGAATTCGTCTAAATAATAGGGTTGGCTGGAAACATCAATAATAAAAATCATGATTCTGATCCCAAAAGTAATAGCCAATTCGGGTTACTTATTTTTAAATATGAGTGGTTTAAGTCGGACGGAAACTGGAGGTTTTTATGGGATGATAATATAAGGCGACAAACGAGCAGGTGGTTCTACTTACTCGTGATGTTCCGTGGCTAGTACTAACGTATTAAGAAATACAAGTACAATGATGGCCCAGTAGAAAGTTTGTGATTTTACAGCTTTCCTACATGTTCTTCGTAGGCGCCGGTTAACCTAACAAGTACAAACGTTTTAATTATCTTTAATGAAAGTAAGGGAATATCACTATTATTTAAATGTCATTAAAGTTACAAAGTAACAAAATAAAGATAATAAGAAGTAACAAAAAATTTGCTATCAAAATCAGAATCCCCCCTTCCCCAAACCCTCCTCAGTCCCTAAATCTCCAAATCCTTTATCCCCAAAAGGTTGGCAACGCACTCGTAACTCCTCTGTTGTTGCGGGTGTACATAAGCGGCGCTGATTGCTTATTCAAACATCAGGTAATTCGTAAAGTCGTTTGCCGACTTACCTCATAAAAAAAATGTTATCAAAAAATTTGGACCAAAGATACTACCTTGTCAAACCTCCTGCAGTAAACTTTACATGTTGATGCGTGCCCTTGTTCCGTATTTGTATTTATATTGCTTTGAGATCCTTCGTTACTTTTTCTGTCTTTTTTATCTGAAAGTGAAATAAAATAATAAGTTATGATCCGAACACAACAGACATCAAATTATGATTAAATATAAAAAGCTTTAGAAGGTACTACAAAAATGCAATACACTAATATGAATTTGTAATTCTACTAATTTTAATACTAGATTTAAAAAAACCTATTTAGAAAGCTTTTTAATGACAAGTGTTAGTATTATTGATTCTTGCTTTGCAAAATCATAACAAGTATGACACTGTGTATATAATACAATACCACATACCTTGAGAATCTTGATCGTCATCCTTCTGGCCTTGATCATTTTCAAGGTCCAACTCTTCAGCCACGGTGATCCAATTTAAATAACCTTTTAAGTCTTCTTCAAATTGTTGTCTTTCACGAGATTTCTGGAAGTCACCACGATTCTTTGCCTTTTCTCTTTCTTTGGAGAATTCTCTGTAAGTATGGTAATCAAAAATTTTGTTCTCTATACTAATAAATATTAATTCTGCTTAGCTGAAGATCAGCGAAGGCACTTTGGTGAATAAAATACTAACATTTAATTAAGGTAGTGTCGACAATCTATTTGATTTAACTCACCAATCCCTAAGCTGACTTCGGCGTTCACCTACCAACATACTACGTGCCTATTGTCATTCTGTTGTGTCTCAAATTACCACGATTAAAAGGTTTATAATTAATACTTACCCGGACAACACACCGAGAATAAGGTTCATGACGAAGAAGTTGCCGAAGATGACCAGCGTCACAAAGTAGATCCAAGGCCATGTGTTACCCTTGACATTGGAAATCTGAAGAGATTAAAAATAGGGTTATTGATTTACAAGATCTTTAGTTTACCACTTTTTCTTTGCTTTTCAATGAAGAACATCACTCTGCTTAGCATTTTTTGTAAAATATAATTAGCTTGCTGTGTCTTAAACCAAAATACTTAAGGGTTGTAGTCCAATGGACAATACTGAAGAGTTATTTTTATATACTTACAGCATACATAATATCAGTCCATCCTTCAAGAGTGATGCATTGGAAGACTGTAAGCATAGCGTAGCCAATGTTGTCAAAGTTGGTGATGCCATAATTGATTCCCTCCCAATCTCCTCTGCACTCGTAGCCGAGGGGGCATTTGAATCCAAAATCTCCAGGCTCACTATTACATGGACTTGGATCTTTTATCTTTTCATCTAGAAATATTATTTTTTATTCAGCGTGTAATGTTCATTCAATTTTGAAATTATGTCAATGATACATTACTTTTTCAAGTAAAATACTTTGAATTTTGAAAATGACGACACACATAATATTTATGAAAAATTTTAATAACATAAACGAATGTTTCACAATATCACTGTATTATTATGCGTATCATTGTATTATTGTGTATTATTATGTATTATAATCCGATGATTACTGAATTAAAAATATATTATATAATGGTGCTAAGAAAAAATCTGAGTAAGAGAATCAAGTTGATAAAGATATAGAAAGCAATAATATGAAAAAGGACATTGAGAGTGATTATAATAAAGAAACAGAAGATATTAAACTCACCCTTCGTCCCATTACGAAAGCAAGTCTCATGTAGGATCCCAGAGAATAACTCCAAACCGATGATGGCGTAAATGATGATCACGAACAATACCAAGAAAGCAATGTGAAATAATGGCACCATCGCTTTCAAAATCGAATTTAACACAATTTGTAAACCTGGAAAATAATTATTCACCATAATTAGGTTCCATACAGTTTTTGCTTTATTCTCGAATCCTAGTTCAATTCGATAAATAATTTCTACCTAATATCGTTTACTTCAATAAAAGTTCAAAGAAGACGATTACTAGATTTAGAAATTATTTCCAACATCAGATGCAATTTCATGAAGATGTCAGAAAATTGGATAATTGCAAACTTAATATTTCGGAATCGAAAACAAAAAATTATAAATAGGCTTCAATTAGATCAAGAAATCAAAGATTTTGTTTAGAATTCTACACAACTTTATCCAAAATAACTACTTACTTGGCACTCCTGAGACCAACCGTAGAGGTCTTAACACTCTGAAAGCTCTCAAAGCCTTCACGTCAAAGGAGTCTCTTGAAATATATTGTAGAATCATACTCGCTATACTGGAAACATACAAAAAAAAATAATTTTCGTCCTCTTTGAAAAGACTGGAAATATGTGACTCTTGACTGTAAATCAGTGTTAAGTGCCCAAAATGCCTTTTGCTGTGTTGGCGACCCATTCGAATTGGGGATGTCTGCCAACCCTTTGCACAAAACATACTGTTTGACTATTAATATAAGTCTGTTGTACAATAATTATGTTATTTCTTTTTTCTCTGTTTACAACAGTAACTATTTAAAACCTATTATTGTTACTTTTATATTGTATTTTTTGTTTTTGCTTTCTTGAGTTTTGAGTCTCCGAATATGCTGATTTATTTATTTCTTCTTTGTTTTCTCTTTCCTATCCTTTCACATTACAATTTGTACTTACCGCAAACGCTATATTTTTTTTTAGGAGGGTATAGCAAATGATCTTATTTTTCATCACCTGATGATATGCAACACCAGTGGACTTAAAAGTGCGTGCGTTTTTCTGGTTAGTGCTTTGAGATTAGGGATTTGGGGATAACGGGTATCTAGGCCTTCTTCATCGAAAATATGATGTTAATACTAACCCAATAGTAACTATAGTAAAATCCAAACTATTCCATGTGTTCCGAAGATACGCTCCAGGATGGAAGAGGAATCCGTACGCTATAATCTTCATTATACATTCTCCAGTAAATATTACCATAAATATCCATTCTACTTTTTCCTGAAAATCAAGAAAATGTTAGATGTATGACAGGACAATATCATGGACACTTTTTCTTCAAAATGTTCCATCCAGCGATTATCAAGTACGGGGGCTACAGGACTATCCTACCTTACTCTACTACCTTTATTTTCTCCTTTCTTTCCGAAGTCAATATTTCCTCCAGATTAATAGCTACAGGACTACTCAGTCTAGCATTCGTACTTGCTAATATAATGGACATTCTGCAAGACTAAGCTACTTAGTGATTTTTTCCCTTTTCCCCAGTTACGTTAACTTTATTGAAACGCATCGCGACACTCAAGGTGCTGTACGCTCATGAATATGAGTAGCAAATGACTTGAAACTATGATCTAAGTAATTAACTGAAAGTTAACAATCTTGGCATGACTTATTATCTAAAAATTGTATTTACCTAAATCGATGTTAACTAATATACAAAATCTAAATAATCTTTGTATATATTTTATACGACCTCTTTATATATCTATACTAATATTATAAAGAGGTAAAATTTGTAAGTTTGTATGTAGGGGGTAATCTTTGGTCGCTGGTCGGATTTCCAAAATTCTTTCACTGATAGATAGCTACAATATTCCTGAATGCTATAGGCTATAAAACACGCTACGATTAAATGGAGCCGAACAGCGAGTGAAACCGCGCGAAAGTAGCTAGTCTAATATAAAAAGGCATACCAACATACCAAGCTTTAGTTAATCACCTAAAACGTTCGATCATAGTTGATTCGCTCTCACTTCATTCACGTTTGTGATTTTTGTCCATAAAATGATGGGTCTTGCAATAGTTACTAGGTATACAATAATAGTTGTGCCAACATTAAGCTCAGTAGTTTTTCAATAAGTTGAGCCAACTTCAATTCTTTTACGTACAAGATTTATTTTTAAATACACGAATCTTTTATCTCTAGTGTTCCATCTAGCGGTCTACTACAATGTATTCCGACTAGTTATTACATTCGTTTGATCTTTATAAGTACTTATAGCCTCCAAAACTACTATTAAAAGTTATCATTTAAATTGAACAAGGGCTGAATTTGGTTAAAAAAATTGGTTTGATAAAAGTTATTAGGGGAATAATTATGAAGCTCGCGTCAGAATGTTTGTATAAGACAGTGACAGCAACAATTTTATTCCTCAGACAAATTTTTATCTGACTGAAAAATCAGCCCTTAATCAAATTGGAATTAGGTTTACAACATACAAAATAGAATATACACATTTGATCGTCAACTGATATATTTTAGATTGTCTGTTTATTGCATCACCAAGACCAAAGTCAAAAACAAAAAAACATATAGACATTTTTATTTTTAATCTTTGTATGCCGTTCGGAAGTTTCTATAATAGTCTTATTGAAATAAATGATTTTGACTAGGTAAGATTTTAGTAAGTACTTTTCTTGGTGAAGACTACAACAATAATCTTTATATTGTACAAAATAAAATAAAATACTGCATGTGTGTATGTCATTGAAATCCTACTAAACGGCTTGACCGCTTTAAATTATTTTTTCTGTATGCGTTTGAGTAGCGGCCTGGATGGTAGATTCACAAATCAACCCGAAAGATGGCGCTGATTGCTTGAAAAAGCATGTGATCTCGGAAACGGCCCTAACGATTTCGCTTATGATGGTATGTGGGAGTTTTTGGAGAGGTCCACTAGTAAAACTATAAAATTGAAAACAGTAGATACTCACCAATATTTGATTAGTATTGTTAGTGTCACTGGCCGGATAGGGTGTGAATACTGCTAAAGCTATACAGTTTGCAAAAATCGTTGTCAATATCATATATTCAAAAGGTCTGACAAAAGAAATTAAGGAAATGTATTCATTTTGAAACGTCACAGTCTAAAAACTTATTCGAAATACTAACAGAGAATATAAAAACATCAAATCGACTGTTGGCGCAGTGATTGGGCAACTGGCTGTATTGCAACGTGTGGCAGGTTCGATGCCCGCATGGAACTACACTTTGTGTGCCCCAAAAATTGTTGTTTCGGGTCCAGGTGGGTTGTGTGTAAAAAAATGTAGGTTCATAAACGCTTCCACGTCACAGGAAAACATCCTAATGTGGCACAACATCTTTTTTTAAATCATTGTTGTATTTTTTCTGTCTGGTTTTGATCGGATACTAACTGATATGTCCAGAACAACACTTTAAATAATAGGACATAGCAGCACTGCAATAATGATCATTCTAAATCCTATTAACCAAACGTGCAGTAACAAATATCACTGTGAAATTATCGACAACAACACAGCGTACATTATGCAACGTAAACAAACAATAAACTGACGAATTTTTATGGTATAATCATGGCTTTCTTGAATCGTTACTCTTTTAATTACCGAAAAACAGTTACATCACGCTTGTTTTCCTTGAAAATGTGGATGGAATTGTGGATAGCCGATTTTATACGAGTTGCGCCTAAATGAAAGTTTTTAAGAAGATTTGCTTTACGTATTTCAACTAATATATTTTCATTATAATTATCAGTTTTCTGCATAGGCCTCCCCAACTGCACGCACTGAGCTCGATGTTTAAGTCTCCTTTAATATAGTAAAAAAAAATATGTAGTAGATCGGCAAACGAGTAGACGGATTACCTGATGGTAAGCAATCAACGTCGCTCATGGACATCCACATTGGAGGAGTTACGAGTGTGTTGGCGACATTTTAGGGATTAGGGATTTGGCGATTTAGGGATTGGGGGAGGGGAAAGATTGGGCCTCCGGTAAACTCACTCACACGGCGAAACACAACGCTTTGGTTGTTTCACGCTGGTTTTCTTGTGAGGCTATGGTATTACTCCGGTCGAGCCTACCCATTCGTGCCGAAGCAAGGAATTTGTCCCATCTCTTTTTTTCTTTGAATTTCATAACTTTTACATCCCTATCGACTAAGATTACTATGACAGTACTGATTTATTTTGCTAATTTGTAACTTGCCCACTCTTTGGTTTGACAAACATAGAATAACTGAAATTTTATTTTTAAGTTTCATTCAATTTCAATCATCATTTTTATTGAACTATTTCATATTAATATGTTATAGGTCAGATAACCGGATGGTAAGCAATTAGCGCCGCCCATGGACAACTGCAACAACAGAAGATTTACGAGTGCACTGCCGACGTTTTGGGGATTAGGGCTTTGAGGATTTGAAGATCGAAGAGGATTTGTGGAAGGGGAAGAATAGATGATGATGATGATGATGATGATGATGATAGAGAAGAATCTCAGACGGCGAATCACAATGCTGTGGTTGTTCCACGCCAATTTTCTGTGAGGCCGACGTATCATTCCGATCGAGACGACCCATTCGAGCATGGTTCTCTCACACTTAAAACGTGTACTATTCGAAAAAGGATACTTCCATTCAACTATGTCATAACACAGTTTTCTCAATGGATTCTTAAGTCCTAAACAAAATAAACTCCTTTTCGGTTTTTCTGGTTGCGGCTTGCCCCGCGGCCTTGCTTGCTTTCTGGGGGCCGGAGTCGTGGCAGCTAATGTGGGGTCCACTACACTGTCAGCCCCAGGAGTAGTGGCCCCCGTCGTTTGAGGCTGTTCCGTCGCCATTTTGACCTGGAATCAAAAGAGAACGGAATTAAATAGAAATTGAAAATATTTTTAACTGTCAAGTTTTTTTTCCTATATGTAATAAAAACAAAATTCAATGCTAACTTGTAATTAAGAAACATACTACACGGTCATCGGGCGTCATGTCTGTGGTTCGATTGCCGCACGAAACAACTCTTTGTGTGATCCACAATAGGTGTGAGTGCCATGTGTATGTAAAATTGTCTTGTCTGTAAACGGACCTACGACACTTGAGAACATACGTGGAGCAACGTATTTTATAAAAAAGAGCCTTCAGATAGTTTTTCCTTTTATGTAGTGCAAAAACTACAGTATTGTATAATTTACTTACTTTTTATTTATTTTATTGAAAATCACAACTGGTATACATATCTATATGTATTCATTTTAGAATATATTCCCACAAACCGGTTTAGCGGTTTTTTTGACTTTGGGTGGTAAGCCGCATTGTTCTACATGCACAAAATTTTACAAACTAATAAAATATATCTGTTCAATTCATTTGAAAAAGTTTTTTTATCATAATTTTAAACAGTCTTATAAAAACAAAAAATTGCAAGTTACTCACGTGTATATAATGAGAAAAGCTCTACTAGTTTCGAACCACAGAGGGGTTCTTCCTCATGAGCAGCGTGCGCGTAAGCAGTATACATATAATACACGTGAGTAACCCGCGATTTTTAGTTAATTCAGTATGTCTCACGATAGTTATTAAAAAACAGTCTTATATTATTTTCTTGTCTGCCGGTAGACTATTGACCACATATGGTACACGTTTCTTTAAAGTTCTATCGCCAAAGTAATAAGGACCCTGGAATAGCTTACATATTGATTTTCTTGTCATTTCAATTTCTTTTATCAAAGCGATAGATTTATCCAACTAATCTACAAAGAAGCCCTGCAACACCTATCCTTGAAAAAAAAACCAGAAACGCTTCACACTGTATCAAAAATTAAAGTAAAAACAAAAGACAAAAAAAATGATTCACAACTTTGAAATACACCTCGCGGATTCATAACGTGTAGTTTACGACATTCTGCGTCGTAAACGCAATATAGCAGTTCATAAAGTTGAGATGTTTCGATTATATTATGGGATACCGAGTGGGTGGGACACTGGATGCTTGGATGCTTGGACGTGTGAGAGAGCCATGCTTCGGTACGAATGGACCGGAGTGATACAACGACCTCACGGAAATTAGGCGTAGAATAACGCATACGTTGTGTTTCGCCGTGTGAGTGATGTTTTATTATTGCCCAATTCTCCATCCCCTCTCCAATTCTTTATCCTCAAATTCCCTATCCTATCCTTAGACCCCGAATAACTTACAAGAGGTCGGCAACGCACTTGGAGTGTACTCCTATGGTACTACGAGAGTTCATGGACGGCGCTGATTGCTTATAATCAGGTAATCGGTCTGATTGTTTGCCGACCTATCTATATACCCATAAATAAAATATACCCTTTTTATGCCCCATCCTTAAAACCTTCAAATCCATAACATAATTTGAAAATAGAAGCTATAGACATAATTTTAATACAATTGGCAAAGATAGGTTGGCTGTGCCACGATTCCGTCTGTCTAAAGTACAGAAATCCTTTATGGGGTTCTGTGTAAATTGTTACAATAAAATTCCAAGTAATGTATTGAATCTTAACGAACGAAAATTCAAAACTTATATTAAAACAGGCATCCGCATACTACAAACTTCCAGATTATTATTAAATGTTATATTATTGAAATCGTAAAACATTTTTTTTTTAAAGAGTAAAGATGGAGTTTCTTGCTCGTTCTTCTCATTCCAAATTCCATTCACTGACGAACAGACTGACAGGCTACTATTCTATTTTGACGTTTCAAAAGTACCTATTTATGGTTTAGTTGGAATTAATAATTTTGACTTTGACTTTGCAGTTACAGATGTCCTCGGCCGGCGCCGATTGTTTACACCTACCCATAAGTCATCCCATAAAACAAAAAAAAAAAACACAAATAATCTTTAACAGCCTACAGTAATCATTTAGATCTTCTTCATATAAAAGGGTTTAGATCTCCTTCATATAAAAGGGTTTTTTTTATAATCTTTACACTTGGCAGGCGTGTTAAGAATTATAGTTCAGAGGGTACGTTAACCAGGGTTGCGATTCAAGCTCAACAATGTACCGTGGCCTTGGCCTGGAGCGGAAGAATGAAAGATTTGGTTTTTAGTCAGTAAGAGTCTGACATTCCCTCTCGCCACGTGCAGAAAATGTTTGTAGATCCTTCAAAAAGAAAATGGTAATGTACCTATCATGACAGGGCTCAGTATTTCAGAAGTATTCTAATCTACTTTCACAAGAAATATTAGAAAGAAACATACATTTTGTACTCATGTAAATCAAAGTTCCACCATAAGTATGAGAAAAGACATGGCGACCCAATGTATTTCTAATCTGCTATCATATCACTCGATCTACCTTTTTTTATAGTTGCCACACAATATGATTTCCTTCTGTGTCGTTTGTTTACAAACATGTAAATTCCCGTATACAAGCCAACCAGACCCGAAACAATAATTAGTGGATCACATAAAGTGTAGGTTCGTGCAGGATTCGAACCCGCCATTATTATACAGCAGGTTGCCCAACCACTATGATAACCGTGCAGGCAACCACCAAACCATCAAAACAAATTAAAACAATACATGTTTCACTAAATTCCTTTTTCAATTGCAATCATAGAGTTTAGTACTAAAACTTCCTAAAACTAATAAGTAAATACCTCAAAAAAAACCTCGCATGTGAAGCCTCCATAAAGTTAAATAAATGGATTATTTAAAGAGGTGTGTTTGAATTGTAACCTACACTTGTATAAAGATGTTACCACGCCCTCTGACGTCACAGCTCAGCATAATATTTCGTCAACATTCACCGTGTGAAATAAAAAAAACTTTAGGCCTATTTGCTGTTTTAATAAATCATGAGATAACGCCATGGTTATGGCTGAATGTTCACGCAGAAGTGAACTTTATTATTATTACAACAAGTATCTATTTACAATACTATCTAGTCTAGTCTAGACTATCTATGTACAATGTGGGTTTATGAAGCGGAGTCATCATCATCAGCCTATAAGTGCCCACTGCTGAGCAAAGGCCTCTTCTCATACGGAGAAGGTTAGAGCGTTAATCACCACGCTTGCTCAACGCGGGTTGGCGATTTCAAACTTATAATTAGAAATTATAAGTGCAGGTTTCCTCACGATGTTTACCTTCACCGTATGTCAGTGGTGTCTAAATAATCATAGAAAGTACATATACATAAGTTGGAAAAAGTCACATTGGTACTTGCCAGGTTTCGAACCCACACCCTCATGCATGCTTTTAAATTTTTGTCGAGAATTCTTCAATCGATTGATCTGATATTGACTACTCTAGCACTTGTAGTTCTAGGTGAAAATCATCAAACGACTTCTCTCGCCCAGGGTAAGGCGAGAGGGAGTGTCAGACTCTTACTGACTAAACCGCCGTTCCTCCAGGCCAAGGCTATTTTGCCCTATTGGCTCCCATCTGTGGTGGTCTACTAGGCTCTTTAAAGCGACTTTCTTTTACTTTCGCCCTGGTTGAGGCGATTTGGAGTTTCAGACTCTTATGACTAACAACCACTGATCGTCCTGCCTCGAGCTGGGCCGCGGATTATTACACTCGTTTTAGGCTTTTTTGCAAGCCTCGGCTAGTTTTTCTTGACTTTAGCTAGACTGTATAACTTAACTTTAAACCGATAAAAGAAGTCTAAGAAGGACTTTTAGTCCGGCGTGATAAAAGCTTGTTTTTGAAAAGTTTTTAACAAATAAATTAATTATTTTTTTACGTTGCCTTACCTTAGAATTTGTTCTATGTCTTAGATCATATAACACAAATACTTTTTCAGAAGCCAGTTGACCAGTCGCAATGCTAGTGTAGTCAATCTTGTATCCAAACTAATCCAAACTTGATATTATAAATGCGAAAGTTACTCTGTCTGTCTTTCTGTCTGTCTGTCTGTCTTTCTTTTCTTCACGCCAAAACTACTGAACCTATTTGTGTAAAATTGGTTGGTACAGACATAGTTTGGAACTAGAGAAAGAACATAGTATAGTTATAAAAAAAATCTAAAGTCTGAGTCACTATTCCATGCGAGCAAAGTCGCGGGCAAAAGCTAGTTACACTATATATAAAGAACAGACCTTATCCTTAAGGTTTCCACTAGGGCGTCGTGTTAAGTGACTATTAATAAATCGAACCAATCAAATCAATTAAATACGCAACGATATAAAAATGTACCAAAAGATCATTTCATTGGTCGTAAAAGGTGGAGTATTTTGGATGCGGTGGAAAAATTATATGGAGATCGTCCATCTATTTGTGTTTTTATTGAATCATCATCTTCATCATCGTCAGCCTATAAGTGCCCACAGCTGAGCAAAGGCCTCTTCTCGGAGAAGGTTGGAGCATTAATAACCACGTTTGCTCAATGCGGGTTGGCGATTTCAAACTTACAATTAGAAATTATAAGACCAGGTTTCCTCACGGATGTTTACCTTCACCGTATGTAAGTGATGTCTGAATAATCATAGAAAGTACATATAACTCGGAAAAAGTCACATTGGTACTTGCCAGGTTTCGACTTATGCACGGGAAGCGGGCTCCTTAACCTCCGGGCCACCACGACATCATTTTATTGAATAGGGTGGCAATAACAGATGGCAAATAATCAGCGCTGCCAACAAACACCCTTAACACCAAGATAGGTACCATTGTTGGGTTTTTGATTTGGGGATTGTGGATGGGGGAGGACTAATGTTCCGGTAACTTCACTCACACGTCGAAACACAACGCTGTCAATTAGTAAGATGTGGACTTATAGGCTGATGATGTGTATCTTTAATGTATTAAATTGTTTCCTATTATTGGTGCTTTCTGCGGCATGACCAGAGCTAAAGCTTAAGTTTCTGCACTGATTGGCG